TGTTCCGAATTCCTGAGCACAAAGACTTTGAATTTCAGCTGGAAATAAAAATAAGTTTATTTTAAATAATGGTATCATCTAAGTTGACATAGAAATGTATATACTCACAATCTACGTCGTTTAACTTAGTCAACTTTTGATTCAACACTATATAAATTTCTCGTGAATTGCATAATCTACCAGCAACCCAGTTATCATTAGATGTTTTTATCATAACAGAATAAGTTGGGTGCATGCTAAAATAAAACAGATAGCGCAATTGGTGCATATATAATAAATTAGTATATGATTTTATTTTTTTTAATCAAAAACATACACACCAAGATTGTTGACTACTTATATCCACTAGCACTCGTAATGCATCCGGACTAAGATTAAATTCAGATAGTCTATTAGTTGTAACTGCTGTGTTTGGATACCTAATTGAATTTTTAATAGCTAAATTCATAGCATTAAAATACACAAATTTAGCTGGTCTTTCAGTATACAATTTCGAAGCCAATGTCTTTTCAACTGCATTTTTCATCTTCTCCGATAACAAATGTAATTTTGTCCCAAGAAACTGATCTAAGGTGTTGTACAAATCTGCTGTTAATGGGCTTTCCACTGAAATTAATTATCAGTTTCAGAAAATGAATTTGTTATAATATATAATCATATTCTATGATACTTACTTTTGATAAACATGCATACAATTGAGTGATGCGCTTTATACATAACTAGCCTATAGCTTTTGAATATTTGGTCACTTTCATCATTTAACCTTAAAATAGGTACTTTACCCAAATCACTAATCCAACTATCCGTTTTCACAGCCCAAACATTTGTAATAAACCTATTTAAAATGAAGTTAATTTTTTTAAATATAACAATAGTCAAAACAATAAGTTTAATTATTTATACCTTCCAACTAGTTGATTGGGCAAACATTGTTGTACTAAATTCCCTTTGACTAAATTGTCTTTTTTTGCAATTTCTGGTAAAACCCACATTAAAATATAAGAATACACAAGTTGTGTTTGTCGTTTATTCAGACCACTCCTAAACAAATTTCAAACAATTAAAAAAAAATCAATTTTCASCAACATTTGAATAAGCCAGACCATTATCTCACAATCCACATAAATTATTGCTAATTCAGTTTAAAAAGATGCCACACCCACAAGTATTATTATTGTCTTACAAGTGCGTGACATAGCAAATTTTACGCTCAGCAGTTCCAATTTAGCTCTGTTAGTTAACAATTTAGTGTGAATTGACCTCTTATAAAAATTAAAGGTAACATTATTATCTAGGTTATCACATACCTAGGCTTTTTATTACATTTTAATTTTAAAGCGCGTTATGAGTATTTTAAGACATAAAATCAATTTATAATTTTAAAAATACTCATAACKCGCTTTAAAATTAAAATGTAATAAAAAGCCTAGGTATGTGATAACCTAGATAATAATGTTACCTTTAATTTTTATAAGAGGTCAATTCACAATAAATTGTTAACTAACAAAGCTAAATTTGAACTGCTGAGCGTAAAATTTGTTATGTCACGCAATTGTTAAAAGGAGACAACACATGCAATGTAGTGTCCTCTTAATCTAAATAGTTCTTTTAGTTATACCTGGAAAACATAAATATAATACTACAAGTATCAAGCCCTTTTTTTTCCCTGTTCAAAAACCAGGAACGGGTGGGAACTGTTCAGCACAATACTGCCACCCGCCCCTGTATCGTTTATTCACCAATTAACAAGTATCAAGCCTGTACAAATATTAAAACTCTATAAATTAAAACACAATTTTGTAGTCACTCTTATTGCCAAAATCCAGTGATAAGTATATTAAAAAAATTCTAAACATACTAATATTAAAATAAAATACTTGGCATTAATATTTATTCATGAAATGCAAAATTTACTGTATACTCTCTTCACTGTAAGTTGACCCACTAGGTCGGTGAAAACCAGTCWCGGCCATACATGTCACCACCTCCTCRGAAACCAAGGAGTATGCATGGAGGCAGCTTCCTACTAGGATGAGCAATGTTGATTGCCAAACACTGAAAACCAGTTACAGACCACCAATTTCATACTGAAGAAGCCTGAATGTTTTGGCGACTTAGTATATAAGTAACGAAAGTGATTCAAATTATGGTGAAAAGAGTATAGTATTTATTATTAATTGCTCTATGATAATGAAAGAATACATTATATTAAATATAGTGTAATCATTTTAATTGTTCCCAATTTGTATACAGAGGTACTGATTGAATCGTTGCTAATAACTAATATATAAGACTGCTGAGTTAAAAAATGACTGTCATTCTATGCACCACTGGTATTGCTAACAACCAATACACAGTGCCAATAGTGTCACAAAATGGTGTACTATTACACATACATTGCATTTACAATGACATATAATAATCTTATTTTTAAATGAATATGAAATGTAATAAATATAATACGTTACCAAACAAGTGAATCATTATAAAGTAACATTGTAAAATGTACTTGTTGAAATGTGTTTTCAATAATATTTAGAAAACTCTGAGCATACAAATGAATGACATTATCTAAAGGAAGAAAACTAATGCCTTGAAACATATCCATAAATGTGTAACTCGATACATCTGTACTCTGTAAATACTAAGAACAAAATACTTACATAAGTGTTGAAAACAAAATAAAATATATCTAATATAAAACAGTTTTGAATTGCATTAGTATTTATCAATGAATAAATTATGAGTAATAAGTACGTATTATAAAAGCTRACCTTGCTATAAAATTTGTTAAGCATAAGTCTAAGATAATCTGGATCATTATCGTTCATGAGCTTAGTCATATTACCGACAGTCATTTGAAATGTATGATACCAGTGTTTCAGGACAGCTAAATAAATTGGTTCTTGAAGATTATATGTGCAATATACAGGTTCATCGGGGGACTCTGAAGACTTTTGTTTAGATTTACATTCTGCTGACACAGTCTACTAAATATAATGTACAAATTATTAAGATAATTTTGAAAAAATCTAGAAATTTAAAAAATTAATTTAAAAACTAGTAATAACATTACAATAACTATCCAAAAATCTGGTTCCGCATTGAATAACACTTGCAATGATTTTTCAGTACGCAATGATTCACATGGCTCATTTGCATTAAAATTCCTGTAATATTTGAAGATCAGTTGAAACATATATTTAAATAATAAACAAAAATAATATGTATGCTAATCAAATTTACTAGCGTACCGTGCAAAACAGATTACAGCTTCAATGTGACCGACRTTGAGTATTTTTTTGTTCTCGTCCTCATGTTCTGGATAGTAAAATAATATTTTTTTTGCTCCCTGTAAGACAAAAAAAGTAAGTGAAAAATATCACAAGAATTAAGTATTAAGCAAAATAATTTTTGATTAAAACGATAAATAGTGCCTATAATTTATTGATTTTTTTGTATTGACCTCAATTACAAGTTTGACTTTTACTTAGCTATTAGTTATATTTTAAATTGTTATTTTATATTATTAAAACAAAATATTTCTTTCTTTTGTTGACCAAGATCATAGTCTGCCTAACGAGGCCAATGAACAAATATTATTTCATTTTTATAGACTATTTTAGTCAAAAAAAAAATGTAGAAAAAATATTACGACAGTGGCATTAAAAAGATGAACACAAATTAGACTTACATCGTCCTCGTTTTTTGATAACGTCGAGTTAAAAATGTACAAATTCTGTACAGTGACTTCAGTCGGCATTTTTTTTCAGTGAACTATCCTCACATATTACGGGATCGAATATGAATTTTAATTTTGAACACGAAACGATAACAACTGAAAATTATTATTACCGCAACTGTTGTAAATTGTTTAAAGGATAAACGATAAAATAAATAACGAAAAATTAAACAGTTATACCTAGAATATCACGAGTTACGACTAAGAGATAGAGATAATAGCTGACTAGCCGAGTATGACTCTGTAGTTAGTCTATGAGCATTGAGCAATCAACATCAAAATCAAACAACAAACAGACGATGTGATAACTTTTATCAGAGGTGACCGTCCGAGAGAAAAACTACCTCCATAGAATCAAGGCGGATCAAGGATTAACAAAGTACAACAAAACTCAAACAAAGTACAATCAACATTTGATTATATTATTATGATTATTATCAGTGAATGATGTTAGGTGTTATTATTATTATTATTTATTTTATTTGTTATTTTTTATAATTAATCGTATTCGGTTAGTTACTTGATTAACTATAGTATATAGTATAATACTGTGTTGTATAATATTATTATATACCTTTAGGCTATAGTAAATTTTAAATTACCAAATATTATTCTACAGTAGTAAGTGTTCCCGAGATGCCTTTCACAACGTACCGAAAATCAGTCRAATCTATTTAGGAGTAAATGATTTAGGATTATTTTGTAAGATCTCAAATTTACCGAATTTCTGTCCCAGTTGCATTTTTGTAAACAAGAACTGTCTACGATTACTTACAAAAAATAAAAACTTTGGTAAGTAGTTTAAATAGTTTTTTGTAATGGTATGTAATACATCGCTGGGGCTAGAAGGATAGGTTGTAACTCTTCCTCTCCAGTCATAGGTGATCTGCAAATAGTATACCTACTTAAATTGTTTTTTAATTTTTACTATTGCATCAAAGGACAATAGACCATATTATTACATTCATTATATGTATCTATGTCAGTTTCAACGGCAAATAATAAATGATCAAATGATTCCTATTTTGTCATTTCGGTATATAATTTCAATATGATGTAAAAATCTATAATTTATGATCTAAGCTAGGTATCCAAACAGCCATATCACTGTCTATTTATAAAATATTAGGTATACTTAGGTATAGCCATATGGCTGTATAGTTCACAATATTATTTCTATATGAATCTTCTTCAATATAAAACCATTGTTATTATTTTTAATTATAAAAATACCAATTACTGAATCACTTATATAATTTATATTTGAAGAATCTTATATTTATATATTATTCTTAGAAGAAGAAATACCTATCTGTATGTATCTAATATATATATTACCTAGTACCAATAATTAAWTTAGTCATGAATAATATTAATCCTTTCATGATTATAAAAGAAACAATTTTTACTTGGCTATTTTTGATTCAATCTTCTAATAATTTTATAAAAAATAATGACCCTATTGACCACCACTATTATTTAGAASTATTTATATTCAAACAAAAAATGAAAAATTTAATTTATTCTATTAAATAACTAGTTGAAATCTGAGATCAAATCATTCAAAATGTATTTCCAAAAATAAAAWTTTTTAACTTTAATACTAAATAATGAATATGATGGTAAAAGAATAAAACTTTTTTCAAAAATACACCTTTGAACTAACACAATAATCAACTTAAATTTTTAATTGGTAATAACCTGGACTAGGATTTATATGCAATAGCATGTTTTATTTGGGACTCCTGATTATTGATTTTGTCAGTAATATCCACAAATCACTTCATGATGAGATAAATGGTGGTGTTTTTATTTTACATGTTTTTGCATATTTTGGATAAAATGCATATATTGAATAAAATGAATATTATTGCATATTTTGATTATAAGAATGCAAAAAATGCATGTTTTATAGTATATTTCGTAATTAATATTTATAATTTAATATTAATATTTTGTATTTAATTCTAGTTCTGCTGCTTAAAGTATAAAACTTGGTTTTTTTTGTCAAACCCCAATTTTTTTTTTATAAATACAATCCTATGGTACAATAGGTATACAATTAAAGATTGAATAATTTGACGGAGAAAGATAAACACAATTAATAAAAGTATGTTGGTTAGGTTAGGTCAATATAAAATCTAAGATAGAATTAAAACGCATATTTTTGCATATTTTGGTAAATAAAATGTATATTTTACAATTTTTTATTGCATAAAAATCCTAGCCCTGGTAATAACTAATAACAAATTAACAAATAATTTAATAGTATAAGTAAATTATAAATTACAATTGTATTTTGAAGTTTTTTAAACTTTCATATTTTTAAATTTGAAACTATTTAATTTTTTCAGATATGGATTCGGTAACATCAGCACTTGCAAATGTTGCTGCTAATAAAGGTGGTATTTATGGAAGTCTAGTTTATTTACGTTCTGAAATGGCAAAAAAAAATGGAGCAATAAAAGAATTTAGAGAATATGGCGGTGTCAAAATATTGAGTAGATTATTACAACAAGTTAACCCTAAAATAACATCATTGGTTTTAAGCATTCTTGGAGACTACAGTATGAATACAGAGTGTTGTGATGAAGTAATTATAACCACTTTATTAAATAAATAAAAATAAACTTTAGATATAAATATTTAAATGTTAACTCTTGCTGTTGTTCTTGCAGTTACTTAATTATGGTGTTCTCAAAGACCTTAGTTTCATAATGAAAAATATAAATGTTGATTCGATTCACTATCGCATATTTAGGTTGATCGCTAATTTAGCCAAATCTGAAGCCCATATTCCGGCTATGTACAAACATAATATTCATAGTATAACTATACAAATATTATCAAATACTGATAGTGATCTCACAAAATATACGGCAATTCGAGCTCTTAGGTAAAGCGAGAATAATACTTTAATTAATGAATTTGTAATTGTTAGTATTATATTTAATAATTTAGGAAAATATGGGAAAATTCATCAAAAATTGGTTGTTCAGAAATGTTAAAGTTGCGAGCTGTTAAAATAATTTCAGATTCCTTAAAATCAGAATGTAAGGAAATAGTTATGGCTGTTCTACGAGCCCAAACTGCCATTTTGTATCGTGTTTTAGAGTTGAAACATGCAAAAAATAGCCTGGACACTGTTGTACAGGTAACATTRGTGTATAATTTATAATAAGTATTATCAAGAACACTAAAAAAAATTTCTTATTATAGATTTTAGGAAATAGTGAAAAAAAAAGTATTGACAACATATGTATTTTAATGCGCTTATTACCTGAACGGCCATTAGTTTCCAAGATAATATATGCAATGTGTAAAATTCGTGACGCGTTAGGATATTTACATCAATCTCGTTTAATTGTACATATCACTGAAATTTTAAAAAATGAAGATAACCATTGTAAGTAGCATATAATTTTATCATGACAATCAATAGGTGTGTCAAATTTAAATTAATTGTTTTTAAAACATTACCTGTTGCATTACTTCAGTTTCTGTGTGACTTAAATAATCATCATTAATATAAAATGATTGTTTAGTACTAATATTTAACCATTTATGTATTTTTACAATAACATAGGAATTCTTGATATGCAAATCACGAATACTTTAAATTTTAAACATTTACACAGTGTTGTAAAGTATTTGATTAAATGTGTTTAAATAATATTATTGTATTTATAATGCTTTTTTGTTTAAGTATTTGGAAAGTATTTTAAATACTGTCATTCGTAAATGTTGAGAACCCCTGTGCTCTATTGCCATTGTTTGGTTCGTTCCTTACTTAACCTGGAAACCTAATATTAAAGAATAACTATAATTTAACAAGTTTTATTTATTTTAATTTTTCAATATACATTTAAGAAAATGGTACAAATATTTCTAATAATGCCTAATTGAATGTAACATAACAATTTTAAATTAGTAATTACAAAATTTAAATATTAATTAATTTAATAAATAATATTAATTTGGCGAACTGACTAGTAGAAAAGTAAAATAAAAAAAGTATTTGAAATGTATTTTAAATACTTTCTGATATTCAAAGATGTATTTGTATCTGTATTTAAATACAATTCAAAAAATATCTTTTACAAGACTGCATTTACATGTCTTCTCAATGTATCTAAACTGTTTATAATAATTTTTTTTACTCTAAATTATAGATTTAACATTATCAATGTGCCTTTTATTGCAATGTCCACTGAATCGTATTAGATTTGTTGGTATACAAGACTGGCAGAGTCTGTTTTTGGGCTTAATTACCAGTACAAATCATACTTATATTGATATAGCAATTAATACTTTACCACACTTCCAATATTGCAAGGTTACAATAAAAGTATGTATGACTTAAATGGTTTATTTGTTATTATAATATTTTTAATTTTTTGTCAAGTCATTTTCATTGTCTAGTATGTTATTTGTGTGCACTATACGTTGCGAACGTTTTAACATGTATTTGGATTCATTCCTCTCATTTGATTCTCTTTTTGAACTAGATATTGATTCCAATTGTTGAGCTATACTAAAAAACCGTGGAGATCTCTTGCTCAATATCTGTTGAGTGTCTGACTTATTAGCATTTATCTTTTTTAAGTGTTTTTGATGTTCTGTTTTATCTCGGCTTAGAGCTTCAACAAGAGCTAATGACTCTTGTTCAGTCATGTTTACCAATCTTCGATTCATTTTTATCCAATCGCTATTTAATATTTTATCAATTGTCCAACGCTTTCTAGGTTCTGGTTGTAAAATATTGTCTATACATATTTTTACATTATCACTTATTATTTTTTCTATGGATGGTTGATGTTCCCAATCTTGTTTGACCTTTAAATATTTTAATTAAAATTTAAAAAAAATGTAATATACTAAATATACATGCCATAAATGATAATTTACTTGTTGCTTATACATCAATTTCATATTTTTTCTATTGAAAGGCATTTTCTTGTTAAGCATGACAAATAATACAACTCCAAGTGACCATATGTCAGATGTTTTTCCATCATATGGACGTGTAATCAATATTTCTGGCGATGCATAACCCAATGAACAACAATAAGTATTACAGTTCAGTCTTTTGGAATTAACAAATTTTGAAAAACCAAAATCTGCCAATTTGACGGTATAATTTTCAGTGATGAGAATATTTTCACATTTGATATCCCTATGTACTATTTCCATTGTGTGTAAGTATTGCACAGCTAATGCTACCTGTCTAAACCATATACGAGCCTGTTTTTCTTTTAATGCCCCATGATCGATAATGTACT